AAATCAAGATCAGATTTAAAAATAAAATAGATCAATGACCCCTATTGGAATATAAGTCTACCAATCAATACAAAACAAAAAATCCCAGGATCAGATGGTTTTAATATAGAATTCTACTAGACTTTCAAAGAGGAGTATGTATTCAATTATAAATCGATATTAGCTGTTAAGTAAATGATAACCAAGCTACAGTCTGTAGACCTAGAGAGGTTAGATAAAAAGAAGGAGTCTATGGGGAAAATGCATGGCTTTTTGTGGGAGAGGTAAACAGAATAGAGTATATGGGTAGTCTGGGAATGGGTGGTGATGGGAGTGGGAGATTAGGTACAGGGAGATGAGATAAAAGAAGAAAATGTGAGCAGACATGTCTAGAGTTGGGAGGCTCTGGATCTTGGTACCCCTAGTCCCAGGGAAATGGGCTTAAATCTATGAAGGGGATCATAATGAAGACTCCTAGCAATAAGGGATATGGAGTCTCATCTGGCCATTGCTTATTGCAAAGCAAGACTTCCAGTGGCAGGCCCAGGTGCATTCAATTGAATTGTTGGCCAAGGAGATCCTGTGGAAATCCCCAAACAACTCAGGGTGACTCTAAGACAAAAGGTTCCTCTCTGCAAAATAATGGTGGGGCCCCATACAACTCATTGAATGTGATGAGGTGGAGCTGATGCCTACATAGTGGTTTTGGTGTGGGAAAGTAATCTGCTGGCTACCCAAAAAGAAATGTAGACACCTACACAGCCATAAACCTCTGATGTACAATCTGTCCTTCCTTAAAAAAATATGCTAAATCTCTGATGGGAGTAGCCAAACAATGTTAGATTTGACCAAAGACCAGTCCATGAGAAGCAATCCATACCTGACATGTCTAGTGTAACCAAGAATCAGAAACTGGATAGTCCAGAGACATAGGATAAAACCAAATACTACTGGTAAAAATAAACATAAAAAGTTATCAATAAAATTACTCTTAATACTAGTCTGCTATCCTCATACATCAATGCCAGTCATCATCAGAGAGACTTCTTCCAGTAGCAGATGGAACAGATGCAGAGACCCAGAGCCAGACATTATATGGGAAGAATATAAATTAGAGGTCTCCATTCAATTCTTCCATTCAAAGCTCAGGGAGTCCCATTTTAAGAGCTGAAGGGAATTAAGCACACCAGGAGAACAAGCCCCCCTGAATCAACTAAGCAAGGTGTATATGAGCTCACAGAGACAGAGGCAGCAAGCACAGGGCCTACAAAGTCTCATATATATATATATATATATATATATATATATATATATATATATTTATATATAATATATATGTATTATATATATATTATAGTTTTAGCTTAATATTTTTATGAGACTCCTGACAGTGAGAATGTGTCTCTGACTCTTGTGCTTACTCTTGGACTATTTTTCTCCTGTTGGGTTGCTGTGTCCAACTTCAATATCATAGTTTTCACTTCATCCTATTATATTTTATTTTGTTATTATATTTGGTTGTTATCTCTTGGAAGCCTTTTCTTTTCAAATGAGAGACTGGAGGGGAATAGATTCAGAGTGGAGGGAAAGGAGGAAAAAATCTGGTAGAAGTAGGAGGAGAAACTAAAATCGGGATATATTGTATGAGAAAAAGATCTATTTTCAATCAAAGAAAAAAAGTAGAAACCAGAATTATTGAGAGCCTGGGAGTATTTTATCAGTCTGGGAATATTTTTATCAGATACAGCACACAGCATCACTTATCTAGAGGTCACTGAATTTGCACCTCATGTTGCCCACCAAACTTGGTGATTTGAGTCTCCCAGATGCTACTAGTTTTAAAGGCATGGAGGGGTCATGCAGAACAGTTGAGGCTTGGCACTGTGAAAGGACAAGAGAGGCCATTGGCAAAAGTGCAGCCTTGGTGGCAATGGAAACCCCAGGACTGAAGGAGTCATAGGGAACAGCTGAGGTTTGGGGTACCATGTGACAGAGAGACCAGAAAAACTACTGTGGGAGGAGTAGCACTGGTACAGTAGACACCCCAGAATTTTGGATATCCCAGTACCATGGGTGACCACCACAAATGGCAGCAGGTATAGAGTAGAGCCAGCCAGAGCCTATGAGACAAGCTGTGTGTGCTATGGATAGCAGAGCCAGAGAAATGCCATTGCCATGATCCTTTTAAGCCCAGGGAATTGTGAATGGATACCAGACATCAAAAACTTGATTCTTTGCTTTGCTTATACCTTCTTGCAGTAAAAATGTATATAACTTAAGTTTTACTTTTACAAGATCCCACAGATGAAGGACTTTAAATTTTTTAGAGAAAATTTTATCACCTAAAGAGACTTTAGACATTTTAAAGAAACTGAACATGTAAAGGTTTGAATTTTTTAAATCTATGGGACATTTAAAATTTGGGGTGTTTTTTATTGTGTATTGATATTAGTATGAGACCGTAGGAATGAACAAGGAAGGAACATGTGTGGTTTAGTAAGTGATATGTTTGTGTGTCAAGTTGACAAGGGGTCAATTGTTCTGGTTGGGTCTTGTCAACTTGACTCAAACCTAGAAAGATGAGAAGAGAGGGCTACAGTTGGGAAAATGAATCCGTAAGAGTCACCTGTAAGCAGGCTTCAGTGGCATTTTCTTAATTAGTGACTGAGGTGGGCCCTGTTCAATGAGGGTAGTGCCACCTCTAGGCCAGTGGCCCTGGGCACTACAAGAAAGCAGACTGAGCAAGCTGTGAGGAATAACCAGCAGGGAGAATTCCTCCATGACCTCTGCATCAGTCCCTGCCTCAAGGTTCCTTCCCTGTTGGAGTTCTTGCCTTGACTTCCCTCAGTGATGGATTGCATTGTGGAAATACAAACTGAAATAAATGCTTTCCTCCCTCAGTTGCTTTTGGTTATATTCTTATCACAGCAAGTAAACCTTAATGAAGACATCAAGATTCCTGTACCTCAGGTTTTGACAGTAGAAAAGAAGTCAGAATATCCTTGGTCCTTGAACCTATTTTTATCTCAGCATTGCTGAGGGTAGCCTGATTTTGCTGGTCTCTGTGATTGTGAAGGTCTTCTCTTTGTCCTTGGAGTTCTCTATCCAGACACTTTCTTCTTAGGAATTATGAATGAGTGATGATCATGACATCTGGATTCTCTTCTGGTGACCCTTCTTGATTACCTTTAGTTCTAGTTGATTTGGGCTCCTCTAAGGAGCAGTGGTCCTGCACCAACAAAACCTAAAGTTCTGTTAGCATTTTTATCTTATGTCTGTTGATAATCCCTTCATTTTTTGGCCTCTTTTGTTTGCTTGTTTTTGTTTTTGTTTTTAAGAGGATTTCACTGAGTAGCTCATGCACCATTGAACCTATCGTCTACTGTCTCTGCCTCCTAAATGTTAGTCTTCTTGGGCTGGGCTACTATGGCTAGATTGGCTCATTTCTTTTAAAAAATAATTTGTGTGTTTTAGGATTTATTTTTAAGTGTGTGTGTGAGAGAGAGAGAGAGAGGGAAAAATAGAGAGAGGGAGAGGGAGAGAGAAAGAGAGAGAGAGAGAGAGAGAGGGAAAAATAGAGAGAGGGAGAGGGAGAGAGAAAGAGAGAGAGAGAGAGAGAGAGAGAGAAGAAGAAGAAGAATACAGGTGCTGATGGAAGTAGAAAGAGAGTGTCAGGTGTCAGGTTCCTGGAATTACACTCACAGGTGCTTGTAATCAGCCCTGTATGGGTGTTAGGAACTGAACCTGGGTCTTCTGCAAGAGCAACAAGCTCTCACCAGCTGAGCCTTCTCTCCAGCCCTTCTGCATGTCTCTATGCTCATGACTGCATTCTCAATATATAAAGGAACTCAAACCCATCACAGCATTCCTTTATTTCATTACTTGGCTTCTTCACTAGCCAACTTCTCATACAGTTTCTTGCCAATTTTGCCCTTCTAGGTTCATTTTATTACTTTGTAATTTCATGCAATCCTACTTTTTCGAAAATGAATTACCTGGTCAGTTGATGCCTTATGTCTATTCTTGAGGACATAATTTCATACCACTGGAAATGTCTTTTCAGTGACCTATGCTTTATGTGTGTGCTGGTCATCAGGAATTCCATGAGTTCCCCAACTATTAAATGGGTTTTCACAGTGGAAAAAGGAAGTAATTTATTTTTCCATCCATCCCTCTACTTTCATTTGCATGTTTGGAATCTGAATTTATAGCTTTTAATTTTAATGTTTAGAAGTCCATTCTTCTGGAAAGTATAGAGCCTGGGTCGCAAGAAAATTCAATAAAATACAATACCATCCATATGTCAATTCTAAAAAGGTTTTTTCAAAATTACAAAGTATTTTTTCTGCCTTTTAGTCTGAACCAAAATGGTAATTATTCATCTGTCTCTCTTGACTCAGCAGAAAAATACAGCCCCTCCCTGTGATAGGTGTCATCCTCCTGCCTCCAGCATGTTAACTTCAGAAAAATCCTTACCTAGGACACTTACCTGAGACCTCACCTACAGGCTTGGATCTGGATTTGACTTCTAAGTGTTCCCTCCTCTAGCCCACTATTCCAAAATCCTCTAGCCTATCTGCTTTCCTCAAGAATCTACCTCCAGCTAGACTGCCCCCAAATGAGTTCTTTCCACATACCCTTCCCCTACCCTACCACTGATCCCTCTAGATGTCTTAGCTATGTGCAGACTAACACCTCCACAGGTCTGAGACTCTTTCTACCTGACTTTCCTCATGCCCTCTTCCTTCATACGCTTGTCCTTAGAAAACAGAGCTTGGCTACAGAAACCCACCTATTAGGAGCAGCTGGTGGGTCCCAACATCTTCCCCTTTACTCATCCTGTATATCTCATCTGGACTTTGGCCTTTACTAGGAATACACATTTTCCTGAAACTTACAGCTCCTTTGAAAGTAGTTCCTAAGACTTTTGTAGCTGCAATGAAGTATAATCATTCTAACATTCCAGCGAACGGGACTGCTAAAGTTTATTGTATTGTCTTATAAAAATGAAGATGTCTTACCAGGGACCAAGTTGCTGAAATACCATCCACACAGAAAATAGAGGATTGAATCAAATAGAATCATCCAGCAGACCCAGCCAAATGTCATGCCTCCTGGCTCTGGAGCTCGGTACATATGACTCCACTGGATCCCTGGCCAGAGGAGAAAGGACAAAGTTATATGGGCCTGTTCTTTTACTACAGTTTTCCAGTTCTATGGGAACCTCGTGGAAAAAAAAAAAAAAAGCAAGTTGATACCAGTATTGCCAACTCTTCAGAGGCATCATTAGCTTGTATAACCTGTTTCAAAGGGAACCATGAGCAGCCATTAGTGACACATCAGTCCCCAACATTCCAAAACTCTGTGAATCATTTATATCTAGTTTTACTGACTTGAGTGGTTTTATATTTATGGATTTTAAAAAAGTATTGTTTAATAAAACCTGAAATTATATGAAAATATGTTAAATAATAAATAGAAGGTCTATGGTGGAAGAAATCATTGTTGTTTTTTTTAATGTTTGTAATTTATTCCTGGGTTACACTATAAATTGAGAGCATTATTTTTCTTTCTCTGCACTGTGGCACTAGTTAGAACCCAGCTTTGAAAGTTTTAACCACTGTATACTTGCTATCATTAGGACCAAAATAATCAATTTATTTGTGACTACACTACGTTTCTTCTACACTATCTTGGTCCAGTTTTTACTTTGCATATCAAATGGAGGGAAAAAACATTTTAGACCAAAAGGCATATTAACATACTTTACTGGACAAGTTTAATAAGTCTAACAGTGCAAAGTGACTGGCCAGAGCAATAACATCCAATGTTCACTTTTACCGATGCCTTTGTTTCAAAAACATACTCCAAAACCATATGAACATCTAAAAAGCATATGTTCTTACTTAAGGACTTTATGATTTTTAAAAACTGCAATATAAATAAGACAGGACTTCCAATACATTTTTAAATTAGTTTAAGGGGCTGGTGATGTAACTCAGTTAGTAAATGTACTTGCCTGACACACACAAGGTTCTAGGTCAATCCCCCGTACTGTGAAAACCAAATGTGGTGGTGCATGCCTGTGATCCTATCACTTGGGAGGTACTGGCAAGAGGATCCAAAGTTCAAGAACATCCTCACCTACACCTAGAAAGAGTTTAAATCTAACCTGAGCTAGAGAACTTATTTCAAAAAATATTTAAGCTGGATATGTGGGTAAATAATGTACAGAAAATGGAGGTGATAGTTGTAACCTTTTCTTTGCTAATTCAACACAGGACCCAGAAAATATTGAAGGTGAGAGTAGAAGAGATGCCCTGGTTCTACTGCAGTCTAGCAGATGGAAGGCATGTGCATACCCCACTCTTGGAAGACTCTGGAATGTCAGACAGTTTACTGTGTAACATAAGCACAACCTATACATTAGCCTTGATCTACCACTAGACGTGGGTTGTATCTGTAGCAAGAGATACTGTGATGTGATTATTTTGACTGTTCTCAGGACCACAGCAACTGGGTAAGGGGAAGTTTTTCTATTAGCAAAACTGAATATCAGGATCTCTTTCCAAATTTTTCACATGCTAACAAGACTGTTTTCCAGTTCTGTTGCTTGATAGCTACATGTTACCAAATCCTGAATCTCAGAAAGCCGCCTTCTGAAGACGCTATCCTCTTACCTTCTTCCTGTCCTTCCAGAAATGTAATGAAAAAGACTCCTTGTCCGAAGGCTGTGGTTGAAAGCAAGCACTGTCAAAGTGGATGGAGGGAGGGAAAACAGCCATTAGTGTTTGATTGTGACCACAGAAAACTCATCGAGCAGAGTTCGAAAAAGACACCTCCCAATTCAAAGGTTCTAAGAATAGCATTGCTTCAGGCAATGGCTTAAATATCTGAGCCAGAAGGGATTAGCAGTGTCAGTGCATGCTGAAACTCATGCTCACCAGCTTGTTTTTAATGCTAAAAGGAATTATTCCTTTTCACAGCAGCACTCGAGGTGTCATAAATCCAATGTACTGAATACAGAAACATGTAACACAAAACAGTGGGTAATGGAATAGAGCAATTTACTATTTCTTATTATTAAATGTATGCCTTGGAGCACTCTCTGAATAGACTGATGCGATGTCTATACAATTCTACACTATAAAAGGAGTATATTAAAGGAATCTGTCAGTTTATCTTCAGTGCAAGAGGTTCTATGTCAAAAAAAAAAAAAAAAGAAAACCACTAAAAATAAAGCATCTTACATTTAAAAGACAATGTACCAGAGTTAGAGATCATCACTAGCTAGGAAGCATTTGTATATGCAAAGCAAATGCTGTATGAACAGATGCCTTGGACTTAAGGATCGAGTTACAAGCAAAAATGACAGCATTTGAGTCCTAGTTTATGTCATCAGTGACTCTATGTTTAAGGTGATGTAAGGGTCTTCTTTGTGTTATTTATTCTAGGAATACCTGACTGACACAGAATTAATTTAAATTGCTGTAGGTATGATATAAGCTAATCAAAATGATGAGAACATATCAGTGCAGCGGACACTAATTAAATAGAACAATTTACTCTATGTGTGTATCTACATTAAGTTGATTTGGCTACCACAAAACAAAAGCAAAAGCAGAACAGCTGGGCCTGCTATTACATGGCTATAATCCCTGCTACTTGGGAGCTGTGGCAGGAAAATCAGAAGTTCAAAACCTGCATGGTATATACAGTGAGCTCAAGGCCAACTGGGGAAAGTTAATACAACTCGTTCTCAAAACAAAAAGTTTTTTTAAAAAAAGCAATAGAGCATTTGTCTATTATGTTTCAGGGCCTGAATTCAAATCCGAGTGCCAACAGAGAAGGGGCAAACACAATACTGAATTATCACTTAACTAAAGTTGGAGGAATTAATTAGGCTGTTACACATGCATTTGCTCTTAAGGCTCTGTATGAACACAGAAGGTATTCTGCACCCTGGGAATAAGAGACACACTCATCTTTCAGGAATTTCATGTTACAAAGGGGATTTCTTTTTTTAAGTCTTCATGATATTTTTTTAAGAATTTCATATGTGAGTACTATGTTTACATAATTTCCTCCCCTTTCTCTCCCATTCAACCCTTCCTGTGTCACCAAAAGTCCCTCTAAACTCAACAACTCTTTTTTTAATTATTCTTACACACACACACACATATGCACATATATATAAACACAACTTGGTGAGTTCATTTAGTGTTGCTCAGATATGTATATGTTTAGGGATGACTGTTTGGGATCAAATAATCTATTAGAGATTTCTTTCCATTTCTCAGCAATCATTAATTGCCTGTCACTCTTCACCTAAGGTGGAGCCTTATGAGATTTCTTCCAGCTACTTTATCATGTCAACTGCTAGTGTCATTTTTCATGTCTTGTTTGGGTGACCATATTGTTGAGAATTCACAGTGCATCTTCCCTGTCATATTCAGAGGATATTATCTCTCATCATAGCTCACCATCTCACAGCAAATTTCCCGAGCCTCTGGTTCATAACACTATTCCCACCCCCTCTTACCCAACATTTCCTGAGCCTTAGACATTGCCTTGTAGATGGATCTACAAAGGACAGGTCACCCTGGGATGGTTTTCTACACATTGACAGTTGTATGTTTCCAAATACTCTAGCAATTCATGGGCTTGAAATGTCCCTAAGTCAACTTCTCTTCAAAATGATTTTGGTCATATATCCTAACAGATTGTTATTTCAGGACATTTACTGACCTACTAGAAGAGGGATTGCAATCTAGTATAGACACAACTCTAGCTCTGTAAAAAACCTAATCTGATATTGGCGTGTTTACCCCCACCATACTGACTGATTTCCTACTATGTGTCAGACACAGTGCCTGCCAGACAACAGTCAAGAAAGAATCTGTTGCTATCTTCTGCATATTTTATGCTGCAGACTTGAAAGCACTCTCACTCTATTTCAGGGCATACATTTCAAATGGATGAGTGATTCTGACATTGCTAACGGAGAGATCTTTCCACTTAATGTGATGTAACTCATGATGCTTCAAGAAAAATGCTTATTTTTAACTTCCAAAATAGCTTCTGAAATCTATTTCTTTCCATGCATGAAACAAAGAGAATCCAAAGTTATATGTTTCCTTCAGGAGGTTGCTGACTTCCCAGAATCCTCAGAGAGACCCCATTACAGAAAACTGACAATTCTTTATGGCCTGCCACTACATCACTGCAAGTCAATGAACCACCACTGTAGTCCTGCATCTGTGGGCAGAATACAGAGTAGAGACCTTAGATGCTCCATGTAAGTCAGAACAAGACAGGCTGGCAGGCTGGCAGGCTGGGCTATGTCATGATTAGAAGGTACCTATTGGTTTTATTTTCATTTGTGCAGAGCATCTCACTCACCAGAAGGGTTTGACTGGTGAAGCTGAGTTGGTTGTGCAGGACTAACAGAACCACGTAGGGCAGGAAGCTGATCATGTACCCCAGGCTGGTGCACAGGGCTGCTGTATTAGCTTGGTTGAAAAACACACTTAAGAAGTAACTCAGCATGACAGCTGACACCCCAAAGTCCAGCAAGAAAAGAAAAACAATAAAAGCATCACTGTGCATGAAGATGCCACTCATCTTCAGAATGGCAGCCAGAGCTGCACTGCTCAGAGCCATCGTGGCCATGTTCTCCAGGAACCAGGATAGGAAGTGGATGGCAGGATGCAACCCCATCATCCTCATGTACTGTGAAAAGAAGAAGCCTGGGGTTATCACAGCAGGGGACCCTTGGGTAAAAGCAGATGAGACCATGAGCAAGAGAAACACCAGTAGGAAAGGAAACCTCTTGGTTTGCCAACTTAGCCAGGGAAAGGCACTAAGAAGGTCACTTCCTTCAACGGTGACTTCTCAGGGAGCTGACAGCATAGCCATTCACTGTGTTCATGGCGAGAAAACTGAAGCCACACATGAAACAGTGTCACCAGTAAGAACCATGGCAGAGCAGGTGTGAACAGATGTCTTAGAAGAAGGCTTGGTTGCCACAGTTCCATTATGTTTTCTGTTTGGGTGGGTTTCTTGTGCTTCTCTTAGCTTTTGTTTTCCTGTCTATTGTGTGCCAGCTTTGTTTAATAAAAGCAAATGAAGATGAAGCAGGAAAATGAGATGAACTCCCTGGCTGAGGTGACCTTCACATGGGCTACAGAATGAACTGTAAAAAATAATATTGCTTAAATGAATATAATTAATTTCTCCCATAACCTACCATTTATTCATATACCATGTGGTGATATTTCAGGGAATAGGTCTGGTCTCATGTGAAAGGAACTTAAGTAGCTTTGAAGTATGGTCCCTTGCTGACCACTTAGTACATTAGAGATCTCAGCAATTGGAACCTTCTGTCTCCGGGTCTCTATGCTCATAGATCAAACCCACTTAAAGAAGGAACACAGATATCCTTGAGTTGTAAACAGGCAAATGATGTGTAGAGTAGTAATAGCTGACCACATGGTCCCTGTATTTCAGCAACTGTTCAGTAATCAAGCAATGAATGACCTTTATTTGCTTGCCTTCACTCTTCTGTGAGGATGAACAGGCTACCACATCTGTACCAGATGTTCTTACAAACTTTCATTCTTAAAGGCAGTTGTCTGACATTTTCAAATTTTAATAATATCAGAACAAAAAAATATTAGAATTCTTTAAAGAAATCTGAACTAGAAATGAAGGTGGAAAGTGATGTTTTATAAAAATCACCAATGAGCAACAATGATTTTGTACCTCTAATCTCAGGCACTTACTGTTGGGTTTCCTTTTGTCTCAATAGGAAATATCTATCATTTTTAACAACCCTTCCAACTCCAATAGAAAACAATGTTCCTGGGAAGAGGACTCAACAAAGGGAAGGAAGAATAAAGGGAGAGACCAGGTGACTTGGAGAGCCACCCCCTCAAATCCTCCCCTGTGATCCCAAAGGCAAATAACAAAACCATTTACCTCTTCTATCTGGATCTCTCGCTCATAAACCAGCTTCCGGACCATGCTGGCCACAGACACCATCCAAGTCAACATCATAATCAGTGGAAAAAAGAAGCCAACATTGTTCAGAAACCTGTCAGTGTATAATTAATTCAGTTAGTATCCAAGGGCAAGTGAGGTCAGCAGCAAGTAAGGTGAGTTGACTCAGGATCATGAATATGATGGGGTCTATGCCTCTATCAGGTTTTGATCATTTATTTTTACAAGTTATAGGTCTCCTTAGGAAGCAATACCTCAAAAGGCCTGTAACCAAGGCATTGCAGCTGCAATTGGCATCCTGATTTACAAGTGTGCAGACACACAAAAGGTGTCATGCCAAATACATGGGGCTCTAGGTGCCTCGGGTAGCTATTGTTTAACCTCTGACACCTGATTTAGACAGAGCACATCAGAGATATGAAACAGGCCATTGACTCATGACTATAATTCTTTCAGCTAATTGGGATCATTACGTATTTTCAATCAATGCCAGCAATTGATCATAGATAATTATTTATAAAATATATAGAAATTGGCAAATTAATATGTCTCACCCTTCCTATTTCCCCAACTTGTACATTTCCATCTAGACTAACTGGCCTTTCTATCCCCCACCTCAACTGGCTCCATTTCTCAAGCACAATGATGACACTGTGTCCCCAAATCCAACAAAATCCCTCTGTGATATCCTAACTTTGCTTGGCAATAGTGATCACACCTTCACTCTTTTCTGTCAGCTTCCAGAAAAGCTTCTTGCTGGCCAAGACTGCTGGGCTGCTTTTCAGATACCATAACTAGCAACTTCTCCCACACCTGTCCTTTTATATGGACATTTCCCTTTGAACCACGGGGTGACTTCCACGCCCTGGGTTCTCTGTCCCTGGGTGAGCTCTAAACCCACAAGGCAACTGTACTTGAACAAAGACAAGCTTAACACACAAGCGGTATCACTTCATCTGTGATACTCGCAGGAACCAAACATAAAAGTTCCTTCTGTGCAGGACACACTAAAGGGCAGAAGAGATAAAACAGCTGCTTAGCAGAAGTCTGTCACATGATGTCAGGTAGTAGTAAATACTGAGAGGAGAAGCAGTATCTGGGGAAAGGGTATCATTCATTCAGACAGAGAAATACTTAAGCAAAGATCACATACAGGATGGGAGTAAGTCGCAAGCGGCACTGTAAGAACACATGAAGAACCAAAAGTTCAAGGGCTGGTGGTGAGAGTTGACCAGGCGCTCGTGACTGAGGAGAAGTCTGAGCTCCAGCCTGGCCAGATGGTGCAGGGAGTTTCACACATAGAAGTCACTTCTGAAGTTTAGTTAATGAAGAGAAAAAATATAAGCTCAGGAAAGGTAACAGAGAAAGAACACATTGAAACATAAACAATGGAGCATCATGGGTAGGGAGGCCTATAGAGAGTGAGTAGAAAACCATATTAGCTATAAGCCATGTAAGCAAGAGACAAGGGACCGCTAGAGATGTTGGCCCTGAAGATAAATGTCTGCCTGGGTTCTTGCTGTGGTGGTCTTCTCAACCCGACTCATCTTCCCCTTTGAAGAACTGGCCTTCTTGTGGAGCTTGCTCAGCACTGGTCCTACCAGTATCTCAAGCCATAAAAGCTTGAGTACTTCACACAAGAGAATGGGGTCCTAAGGGACTGGGCCTTTGCTCTTGACAAAGACCTGCTACAGACAGAAGTCACATACTAATAAATGTATAAACAAACAAACAAGAAAAGGAGTTTTTATTTAATTGGCTACATAAAGCAACATAAAGCTACTGATGTCATGAGTAACAATGTTTTAGATTACATGCAGTGATTTGCATTCTGTGCAGCAAGTGTGTAGCATGTACAGTTAGAGGTATACCTGGTGACAGAGCATTTTGCTGCAGAGAACAGAGGGCTCCAGATTCTTCACTTTTGTGGTTTTCTTGGGGAAGGTAGTTGTTATTTTTGCAGCATTTGGAACAGATAGACAGCCTGTGTCATGAATATATCTACCTGTACAGTAAACAACCATTATCTATTCTCTAAGAATAACATAATTTGGGACAAAGAAGATGCTTCTAGGATCAAAGTAGAAAATAACCAATGTTGAATCTATTTGACGGGGGAGGGATGAAAATGTTTGCATGTTTATGTACCTCTTCATTTTTATGGAACAGTGCTGAAGGTGGCAGCATCTGAACTCTGATCTCATCAATATTGAGTCCAAATATTAACCAAGTGTATCCAACCAACCCCATAAAGTCACACTAGTCAGGATTCCATGCTCTGGGTCATTGAGATTTTATTACAAAGAATCTAAGAGAGACTTGGAATCTCAGCAGCCTGAGGTCATAGAGGAACTGTTAGTGCCTGTAGCACCAGAAATACCTCACACAGCATCTGACCAAAGCCATGTAAGAAAAAGAGGATAGTGTTTTAAAAATAGGGATTGTAAGACATGACTTTTTATCTGCTCCTGGGAACTACTCTAAAAATCAACAAGAGGGGGAGAAATATGCACGTTTGAATTTTGTAAAAGGCTTGTAAAGGACATTCAAGCATGAGAAAAAAACAGGCCAAACCAGTTGCTTTCACATATGACTCATCCATGCAAAGTAGAAAAGAAATACTTATAAAGCAAAGCTTGTCGCTTAAAGATTACAACTGCATCTTCAAGAACATACTCTCAAGGGAAAATATGCACAATGGTTTGTGGTAAATTGGTGTCAAACTGTACTTTAAGTGGATAGTATTAACCACAGAACTTCTATTTCAGAGGGAAAGAATAGGATGGGATTTCTTAGAGACCCACGGAAATTTTTGCTGCAATTGAAATAAAGTTTTCAGTTGTGTTGCAGCCAATGTCATCTGCTCCACATACCAACTGGGTATCCTTCAAATGCCCACTCAGAAATTCCCACATTGTTCTAGAGAAGTAACAATCAAAGCAACAGAAACCTAGCAATCTACCCAAGAAGCAGAGAGATAATGAGATTGCATGGTAATTACAAAAGGAAGAATATATGGTAAAAATATGGTGATATGAAACAGCTCAAAATGGTGGGTGTATTTTACATACTTAGTAAGGCAAAGCCTTTATACGATCCATTGGACAGAGACTTGTTAGAACTCAGTGGTTTAATGACAAGATCACAAGACAGGAAAATTTTTTCACTGCAAGGAATTGGAAAGGGATAGATGACAAAAATAAAATGTTCATGGTGGTGAAACTGAAAAAAAAATACAAAGGAATATGATTCTACTTAAAAAAAAACACGTGGAGATGGAAGACAGCTAGAAAAGTACATCTAAAGAAGCAGCAATGGAGTGCTTTGAATAAATAGTGAAATTCTATGAATGAAGACATAGGAGAGGAAACCTATGACCGAAGTCCCTAAAGAAGAAAAAACAGTGATGAAAATCAGTGACTTCATAAAGCTAAGGAGCCAAAAAAATTGAAATCTGTACATTCAAAGGTCTCATATGCTTTGTAGAACATTATACTAGAGTGCTCAGTGATCCATTGTATTCTGGAGTTCATGGGAGGAGGTAAAAAGCATAGGACACAGAAACAGCCACCGGAGAGCCCAGGGGGAAACAGCTGGACAGCCAGAGAGCAGCCATCCTCCAAGGCTGGTGAAGGCAAGAAGGAACTGAGGCCCAGCAGCAAGGAAAGGGAAGAAGCACAAGAGAGTCTGTTCAAGAGGTCTCAGCTCTAGGTGAGGAGTAAGTGCAAGGGCAAAGATCAGTAACCAGGTGAAATAAGAGGGGGCCTCCGAAAACAGAGGAGAAGTGCCATACGTCTAGTACCAGAGAATGTAGAGAGCAGAACTCAGCTGGAGGGAGACCCCACAAGGAACAAAACAGATGCAAACATCAGAGGGACTGGAGACCAAAGGAAAAACAAGAGACTCCGAAACCACATGAACAGTGGAGTCATCACTGAACAGATTTACAGCTGAAGCAGAGAAGAATCCTGCTCTCTGAATAGCACCTAAGTGCTGGGGAAACTTTATGCTTGCAGCATTTGACCAGAGAATAGCAAGGAGCCATTTTAAAAGTTCTTATTGAGTCAGCAGTTAGGCCACTCTAGTGACAAAGATCCTACCTCCTGACAATTGCCTATTCTAGGAACCCAGGGCAAGTGTCAGATGATTGTAGGATGAGAACTGGTTTGCAGTTAGAAGTAACAAACTGAGTCATATCTACAGAGAAATCCATGCCATCTGGTCTGATGCCACAGCCTGGTATTGAATAGTCTTCCCTACTCTGGTGCTAAACAAGGAAGCTAATTACCAGAAATGGCCCAAAGTAGGAATGAACAGTGACAAGTGCTTAAAATTGATGAAGTCTAAGGCAAACCAGTGTGATGTTTGTCAATAGTCTGCTGGAACTGATTTGGAAGCACTGCCCCAACAGGCTAACCTAAATAACCTGAATATGCTATGTAAGGTACTATTGGGGAAAACTCAGCCAAGGTCTTTCCCAGCTGTGAACTTATCATGCTACAACACTAACATGCTAGGCAAAGTATACCTACTGGTACAATAGTAACATGATCGCTTTACCGGTAACAATTAATGTCTTCATGGGCTTAAAGCCTGCTCAGTGGGGATACATGTTTGATCAGTGGTCTAAGACAAAATCCTACTGGTGAAATGTGCTACTGTTGTTTTACTAAATGATCGTGTCAAGCAGCCTTCTAAATATTTATGGTTTTGTCTACACATTAGCATTACTCTCATTCTTGAGTGGAGACATTCCTGGGGTGCAGAAAGGTTAATGCAAATACTTATATTTAGTCAGTGTGTTGAGAATAAGTTACACTGTGTACTCAGCCATAAACAAACACCTATATCATGCCTTTAAAGGTCCATCTTTGAAGAGGAGACAAAAACAAAGTAAGAAAACATAAGAAAGAATGTAATACAAAAATGAATATAAAGGGAAGATTACTCTGTAACGCTGCCATTCGTCATCACACAGCCTCTCCAGTCAAGAATATACCCGAGCTTTGCATACCACAAGGTCAGTACAAGACTGGGCCTTCAACATTCCACAATGAATGGCTGAAGCATATAATCTCATCCTTTCATGAGGTG